TGCCCAACATCCTAGAAAAGTCCACGAGATTCCATACCCACAGTAGGTCTAGGTATAGTGCTTCAGACTCACTATCCCTTTAACTAAATCTAAAATAGGCAGATCGCTGTTCTTGTGGCTTGCTCTTCTACCTGGTCAAATGAGACCCTATTTCAAAAATACCAGTGCAAAAAAAAGGGCTACAGACAAGGCCCTGTGGCAGAGAACCTGCCTAGCAAGCATGAGGCCCTGAATTCAAAACCCAGTATTTATAATATATATTTATTCATTTTACAAAAGCTGAGCATTGGTGGCTCATGCCTGTCATCCTAACTACTCAGGGGGCTGCTATCTCAGGATTGTAGTTTGACGACAGCCGAGGTAGGAAAGTCCATGAGACACTTATCTCAAATTTACCACCAGAAAAAAACAGAAGTAGAGCTGTATCTCAAAGTGGTAGAATGCTAGTCTTGAGCAAAAGAGCTCAGGACAGTGCCCAAGCCCTGAGTTCAAGTCCCACATGTGTGTGCATACATTTTGGGGAGTGGTATTAGGGTTTTGGAATTCAGGGCCTAGTGCTTGGTAAGAAGGCACTCTACCACTTGAACCATACCTCCTACCTTTTTTGCATTGAGTTTTTTTCATATAGGGTCTATTGCTCTTTGTCCATGTCTAGCCTTGGACCTGCTTTCCTTGCTCTGCCTCCAGCTTAGCTAGGATTATAGGCATGTATAACCACATCCATCTTGTCAACTGAGATGGTATTCTTGCTAACCTGTTGGCTGAGCTGGCCCTAAACCATGATTCTGCCAATCTACATCTCCCAAGTGGCTGGTATTATAGGTGTGCATCATCACATCTAACTAATAAGAAGAAAAATGAAGAGTTCAGAGCTCAAGTTTGAGGGAACAGGCAGGAGAAGATGATCTGGCTCTGCTCTGAGATTTCTCACAGACACTTGGAGATGGTTTTGTTCTCATCCAATCTGCTGTAAAGACCACTTTCCAGTCAGCATGGAGGAGCCCATCTGTCAATGGAAGAACGGAGGCCAACGTGCACAGACAAGCAAAATCAAGCAGAGATGAGCAGTGGGTGGCAAGGACAAGAATCCAGACAGGCATTCTGAGTCCCAGGATCTAGCCAGACTTAACCTAGTCTGCACCTCAGTCTTTCGAATGAGCCTCAACATTCTCTTTCCAGCTTAACTGCTTTGCTCTACAACAATGCAGTCTAGGGTGTGAGTAGCTAAAGCCAAAGAGGATAAAAGTTTTAGACCTGAGAAGGCCCAGGAACTGCAGAGATGTTCTAGCTTAGTTTGGCCTGTGCACCTTAAGAGTCAACCAAAATGAAAACAGCTCTCTGTGTGGTGGAAGGTTTATATCCATGAGCCATTTGCAAAGTCTGAGAAAGACAGAACCAACAGGATATTAGGCAGTAACCACAATGAAGATCAGAGGCAAAGTGTTCATCAGCTACTGGAAGCTTCAAAAGAGCCATAATCAGAGCATGGCATGCACTCCTATGGCTCCTGCCTGTATTCCTAGTACTTAGGAGGCCAAGATCTGAGAGTCAGGATTTGAAGCCAGCTGTGGCAGACAAATCTGAAAGATTCCTATCTCCAGTTAAATTAGAAAAGCTGGACTGGAGACATAGCTTAAGTGGTAGAGTGCCAGCAGATCAAGACACACACACACACACACACACATCTGGAAGCCACACAGGAAAGAGAGACACATCTAGACTCTCCTTGCTGATGAGTAGGTAACCGGAGCATGCACTCACATGCATAACTGCTGCATAAATGAGGAACTGCTATGAAACTCTGCCCCACTAAAAACCAGACTTCCAAGTCTTGGCATCAATATAGGTCAATATTATAGATTCCTGCAAGCGCTCTTCCGCCCTACCCACAGATCACAATCACCTCTGTGCCTCTGTAAACTGGATATTTACATGGACCAGGCTTACAGTTTTTCTGGAGATATTTTACACTAATATTTTCAGATGTCTCAGTGGCCAGAATAATAACCTCAGTAACAACATCACTCGAGTGTATTGAGTAGAAGAGTTCATATTAAATATTTAAGCCCTTATTTTAAAATCACAGCACCCTGGTGTATTTTATTGATCAACATAAAATATACATAGATATTACAGAAGAGCAAAATCTAACATAAAAACGGGAAGCTTGCCTGCCAAATCTGACCTGCGCCACAGAGAAAAACCAACAAATGGCTGGCATTTTAACAAGGGGACAAAGAGAAATGGCGATGTGAACAGATTTTCAATTTGTCCATATGACAAATATTTACGTGCAGATATGCACATCTAAAAGTTACTTTTCTTAACTTTACCTTAGGGATCTTTTCCACTGTAAATCACTATGGCTTTTTTTTTTAATTAAGCTTTTATTTTGGGGTGTGTGTGTGTGTGTGTGTGTGTGTGTGTGTGTGTGTGTGTGTGTGTGTGTGTGTGTGTGTGTGTGTGTGTGTGTGTGTGTGTGTGTGTGTGTGTGTGTGTGTGTGTGTGTGTTCTAGTCCTGGGATTGAACTCAGGGCCTAGGTACCATCCATGAGTTTTTGGCTCAAGGCTAGCACCTTGAGTGGCCACAGCTCCACACTTCTGGCTTTTTTGGTGGATAATTGGAGCTAAGAGACTTCCCTGCTTGGGCTAGCTTCAAACCATAATGCTCACATCTCAGCCTCCTGAATAGCTGAGATTACAGGCATGAATCACTGGCTTCCAGCTAAATTAAACATTTTAGTGCTTCTGTGTATATTGAACATTATTCTATGGATGGATGTATTTATTATTGTATGCACATTTGATTCCTAGAGTAGAAGTACTAACTAACCATCTGGTTAACCATTTGGACAACCATTTGGATAAATGGAATATCATTTCATGGGATAAAGTGTGGTGCTGGCACTAATATAGACTATCGTCAGTCTCTTTTATGAATCCTAACATATAATTAATGATCAATCAAAACTGGAAGAATGACACAGTTGTGCTGTTCAAGATACTGCTGAAAGTATCATTGACTTGAGTAGGAAATAAATCTACAGAGAAAATAAATTTATTAAAGACATACAATCTTTGGAAAATGCAAACAGAATGTGCAGGAGCAGTCTCCTTAATGATGCGAACACACTCATGTGAACAGGCTTCAGAGGCCCGGTGCCGTCATTTCCTCCTCTTGAGGGAAGGTAGACCTGAACAGCCACTTCTGCTAGCGTGGGGCCTCCATGGGCTGCAGAAAACACAAGGCTGATCTCAGGCTTCTGGGGGAAACCCAGCTGTGACCTCAGTCAGGGCCACACCTGTTCACACACTGGCACACCAATGCCTCGCACACCAGGGAGAAAGCCAGGCAGAGATGGCCTGCCCCGGATCGGACCACGGCCACCTTCTCTGAGTCTGTCCTCCAACCGTGAAGGGAGACTTTTCATTTCCTCACTGTTTTCACCATTGATCTACGCTTATTAGATGGTAATTTTATTAGAAATAATGTGTTGATTTTTCCCTCCACCTTATCACTAATTTCACATAGCACTATGGGTATTGGGATTTTTTTTAATGACTGCAAAATTAACAATCAATGGTAGCACATTTATCAAGATTCAAAACTGAAAAAAAATGTCATCTAGTCTTGAGCCCACATTCATGTTTATCCAATTGTCATAAGAATATTTCTATGCCTTTTTATCTGAACCATGATCTAATCTAGTTTTGGCTTTTGAAACGATTACTTCTCTTTAACCTTTTCTCCATCAACTAGTAACTTGCCCATTATTTATGACATTGACTTTTTAACTTTTTAAAACAATTTTATAAAAAAAAAATTTATAAATGGTTGTATATTTTGCCCTTTTTTTCTTAATTTTAGATGCACTAGATCCTATGTTTAATTTCAATAAGACAATAATGACTTAGACATTTTAGCCAGCTGGTGAATCATGTCTTTTATCTTGCTGAGAAGGCTGAGATCTGGAAGGTCTCAGCTCAAGTTCAGCTTGGGCAGAAAAGTCCACAAGACTCCATATCCCAAATAATCAGCAGAAATTAGGGTTAGAGGTGTGGCTCAAGTAGTAGAATGCCAGCCTAGCACGCTCAAGACCCTGAGTTCAAACACCCAGAACCCTCAAAAAAAAAAAAACCCTAATAAATTCTTCATCTAGTTTCTATCTGCACAACCTCCTCAAAAAGAGTAGACATTTTATATGGCAAAAATTAAGATAATCTAAAAGAGACAACAGATTTTTCTCAGTAAAATCAAGAAAATGGTTTCCTGAAAAATATTTGCACAATAAAAATTGTAAACGAAGTCAGCAACTGGTAGAGGTTTTTTGTTTGGTTGGTTGGTTTTTGTGGGTCCTGGGGCTGGAATTCAGGGCCTGGGCTCTGTCCTTGAACCTCTCTGTGCTAAGCGAGCACTCTACCACTTAAGCCACAGCGCCACTTCCGGCTTTGTCTGTGGTACTGAGGAATCAAACCCAGGGCTTCATGGCATGCTAGGCAAGCGCTCTACTACTAAGCCACATTCTCAGCCTATATTTTTATTTTATAAAGTCAGAATCATGAAAAATTCTCCTTGCTGTAGTATATTTGATCCATTAGTGAATAAGACTGAACAGGACTGCTTTATCCTGGTGGGGTTGTGTTCACGTGGAAGATTTCATTTTTAAAGAACTGAGCAGCCCTGTTCAAACATTCACAATTATCATCAGATGTGATCTAATAGCAACATTTTAAACAGGCTTTCGTGTACACACCATACTGTGGCCTAAACTTAAGATCTGGATTTTTCTGTCAGTTCTGGTGCTATGTTACTTGAGACACAGCTTCTGGCTTTTTAGTGATTCATTGGGGATAAAAATCTCATGAACTGTAGCCCAGAAACAGGTACAATTACTATGCATGAAATAAAAGCACATATCAAAAAACAATTTTTAGAAGATTCTGCCCATCGTTGTGATGAGAATTGATTTGTCTTGTAAAACTCCAACTCAAAAAAAAAAAAAGCTATGTCATCACTGGGAACTGTCCACTCGTACTCCCCACTCAAGGATGCAGTCTGGATGGATTCTTCAATCTCAGAGCACTAGCAAATGAAGCAACAGGTGCTTTTGGAACTGAACATTTGTGTGGGGCTGGAACCTCTGAGATCCTTTTCTGCCCATGGTGCAGCCATACTAAGTTATCGAAGAATACGATCACATTTCTATAAAGACTTTGTGACATGGAACTCTGTGTGCCATCTCTCAGCTCCACCTCCCTCTCAGAGATCAGTGTTCAGTGAAGAAATTTTAAATGGTCTCCCAGGTGCCTATCTTGCCCTGTTGTGAGGTTACTGATGCAGGCACAGGTCACAAAATGGTGCTGGTGTAAATGGATCAGTCTTTCAAGACACTTGATGATCTCATAATCAGGAAGAGCAAGAGTGGTCATGTTCAAGCCCAGCATCTGAGAAACTATCTCCCTGAAGTCCACCAGCTGCAACAACAAACAGAAACATGTTAACAGGACAGAAACTACTGCTGGGTAAAATTCAGCAACAAGAACACAAAACTAAGCCTGGCGCTGGTGGCTCACATCTGTATTCTAGCTACTTCAGAGGCTGAGATCTGAGGATTATGGTTTGAAGCCAGCCAGGGCAGAAAATCTTACTTATTTCCAATTAACTACCAAAATTAGCCAGAAATGCTGTGGCTCAAGTGGTAGAACACTAGCATTGAGCAAAAACAACAACTACTACTACTACTACTAAAGGACAGCATCAGGCCTTGAGTTCAAGCCCAGGATTGACACCAAATTAATTCATTAATTAAGATGATAGTAAAACATGGACTTGTATCCTACGAAGTCCCTTTAGCTTTGGTACTTTCATAATCCGTTTTCTGATGAGCCAATTGATGGTAGGAGAGCTCGCTAGTGAATCAAGATCCCCAATTAAATGATCTTCACTCAGCTGTGCACCAGTGTTTCATACCTGTAATCCTAGCTACTCAGGAGGCCGAGATTTGAGGATCAAGGTTCAAAGCCAGCCTGGGAAGAAATGTCCATAAGGCTCTTATCTCCAGTTAACCAGAAAAAAGCCACAAGTGTAGGTGAGATTCAAGTAGTAAAGAAAGCACCAGCCAGAGAAAATGAGGGAAGGGGTGACATGGTTCAAAAAGAAATGTACTCATTACCTGACTTACATAACTGTAAGCCCTCTGTATATCACCTCTACAACAGCAATAAATATATTCAAAATAAAAGGAAAATACCAGCCTTGATTTAAAAATACTAAGTGCATGAGGCCCTGAGTTCAAGGCCCAGTCAAAACACAAAAGAAACAAAACAAAAAAACAACCATAACTGAGACTCTGACCTCACTTAAACTTCATTTTTTTTCATTTCCAGTGTAGGATTCTCCATGAACTTACCTATCCTGAAGCTGGGAATAAGTGAAAGAAGACTGTGTGTGTTCTGTGTGCTACAGAGCATGCATGATGTATGTATTGGTAGGGATGTCAGTGAATTGTAAGCATTTCTTCCTTGTAACTGAGGACTAAACTTCTGAAACTAGCAAAAGAACAAATGGGAAGAAAGCCAATGAAAACAGGAGGCTTCCTAGATTATGAGGAAGACAAGCCACACAGCCTGCCCCCTCACTGATTGTGACCTTACACTGACCTTGGACTACTATTTGCCCATCAAGAAGAGGGAAGATGGGCTGGGAATGTAGTAGTAGAGTGCTTAGTAGTAGAGTGCTTGCCTAGCATGCATGAAGCCCTGGGTTCAATTCCTCAGTACCACATAAACAGAAAAGGCCGGAAGTGGCACTGTGGCTCAAGTGGTAGAGTGCTAGCCTTGAGCAAAAGAAGCTCAGGTACAGTGCCCAGGCCCTAAGTTCAAGCCCCAGGACTGGGAAAAAAGTAAGAAGAGGTAAGATGCTAGGCACCCATGAATTATATCTATAATCCTAGCTACTCAGGAGGCTGAGATCTGAGGATCATGTTCAAAGCCAGCCCTGACAGACAAACCGGAGAAACTCTTATCTCCAATTAATCACCAAAACACTGCAAGTTAGAGGCATGGCTCAATGATAGAGTGCCAGCCTTGAGTGAAAGAGCTAAGAGAAAGCACAGAGATCCTGAGTTCAAGCCCCAGTACCAGCGCGCACACACACACACACACACACACACACACACACACACACACACACACACACACACACACACACACACACCTATCTAGATAGCACCTCAGTACAAGTACCTGTCATTTTGGGAAAGGTAAAATTCAACCTGAGATGGAGTAGTATCAGGAGAATGCCATCCAACATGCCCAGCCCACACTCTTTATGGAAGTTCCCAACTCCTCAATAGCCAATAGCCTTTCCATGTTGAGGGTTCTCTTCACATGATGGCACTGGGATGCTAGTGTCCTTCCCCCAAAACAGATAGAAAATAGATACACAGATACATAGATGAAAGATAGAAGATACAGATAGATAAAATAGAAGATAGAAGATAGATAGATTGATAGACATGAATATAACCCATGTGATATAATCACCCATGGGGTCAGGAGCTGGGGCTTTGGGAGTTAATTAGATTTTGATGACATCATGATAGGAGTTAACTAGGCTTCATGACAGCCCAATGGCTGAGCCCCATCCCCTTACAAAAGGCCCAGAGCTGCTCTGTTCCTTGGACCATGTGAGGACGGCATGAGAAAACACCATCTGCCCATCACTTTGACCTTGACCTTTTCCAGCTCTAGAACGATGAGAATTAGGCATCTAGTTGAACACCTCCCCAGTTCTACCACTCTCTTACAGCACCAAAACAGACTAAGAGGCCAGCCAGGTCTCCCAGATGTCGAGATTCCCCTCAGACTTTCCCACCCTTTTCAATGTGACCCAAAACGTGTCATTCCTGAGATGTTTCCTTTCTGAGAACATTTGCTGTGGTAGTTTGGCTTTCTCCAACCCTGCCTGACACATGAGTCAAAGCAGAGACAGCCAAAGAGAAAAAAAAAATCCTAGGACCAGCGTCCACTCTCTGCCCTTTTGAGCTTCAGAGAGAGTGACATGAAAGCCAAGGCAAGGCAGGTCAGGCTGCCCGCGACATACTCCTTTATGTCTGACCTGATGTGCTCACCAGATAAAACGCTCCTCCTTGCAGCCAGCCAGCCAATGAGGCTTTTCTCTTTTTATGGCTTCCATCTGGGTTTGGTTGACCATGAAGTTTGGGTGCCACTGTTTGACAGTGGTGACTGTTTCCTGCAACGGATCTGTGCGGGAGATAAGGCTTCTCCCCTGACACGCAACCCCTGCTCAGTGTTAAATGAGAAGATCGGAGATGATGCAGATGCCACAGGCCATCACCAAACACAACCAAAATCCCCACCACAGCCAGAATCTGGCTTCTCACTGGTATTTCACTGCTCAGCATATCACCACATGCCACAATTCACAAATGGGAATTGTTTTTCTTAGAGAAAACTATAATGGTATTAGAATGCCAAAAAAAAAAAAAAAAAACCCAGCTCACTAGAGGATGGATATGTTGAAATACTATAGAAAGCTTTACAAGTTGTTTTTAAGGGACTATATGAATAACACTCTCTTTGGCAGAACATGCACTAAAATGTGGAAAGACACAGAGATGAGCACGGCCCTGACGCAAAGAGCCGTGAAGCAGTGCATATTTTTAAGTACATGAGCAATCATCGAGCTTTTAAAGTATCCTGTCCTTTCCCAAACAAGATTTCCCCACCAGATCTGTGCCCACCTGCTTTTCCCTCTTCATCGCTTCTTCCAAAGACTGTTTGAGGGTCTTCACTTCACTGGTTACCACTTGTATCATGGTTCTCGACCTTTCCTTGTTTTCCCTGGCCTCGTGTTCCAAAGAACCCAGCTCTGACTTGACCGATGTCAACTGCTTCTCTACCTTCTCCTTCACCTTCTCCAGCCTGTCTCTGGATTTATTTAAGTCTTCAATGGCTTTGGTCTGCTCCAGAGTTTTAATCTGAGAAATCAAAAGAATGCTGATCATTTCTCTTATATTGATTTAGCAAAGCTGCATAAACAAGACAAATCAATAGTCATACAATTATTTTTATGAACAAAGACTTGAATTCATCCTAGCCAGCCATACAGATGTGGCTAAGCACTGTATGCTGAATGGACATGATTGAAGACAGTTCCAGCTTATGAATACCATATTAGAATACCTTTACTTGAAAAATCAAGGAGAGAAAACTGCAGAGGGCAATATTGTGAGCAATTTTGTTTCTCTAGGCAGGATACTAAAATCAAGCCTGTGAGTAACCAGGTCAGGTGGCACATACTTGTAATCTCAGCTCTTTGGTGGGCAGAAATAGGAGGAGGATGGTCCAGGATCAACCCAGGTAAAAGCAGAAGCTCTTATCTGAAAAACCAACTAAAAGCAGCAGGTCTGGGAACATGCCAAGTGGCATGACCCTGAGTTTAGTACCTAGTACCACCAAAAGTAAAACCAAAATATAAACCTAAAGCCTTCAAGAAAAGTGTACTGCCTATGTATCCCCATCTTTTATATACAAGTAGTAGAAAGAACAAACTACCTCATCTTCTAATGTTGGAGCCCAGGGAAGTCCCACCTAACATCCTCCCAGGAAGTCCTGGTTGCTGTGAGGAAACTCTAGGCCCACAGTTATTCAGAAAATTCTTTTTTTTTCAAGTACAAAATATCATGCTTTATTTTTACATCCACATGAAATGATCAGAATAAGCAGGTACAAAATGCAGTAAAGAGATCAACAATTGGTTAAGAGATGACAGCCACAGAGATAACTCAGGGGTAAAGTTAGTCTTTTCTACAAAGGGTGCTGGCATGAAATAAAGACTATGACCCAAAATTATTCCATACATAAAATTAATACAGATAACAAACAACAAACTGGAATTTAATGCGTCTCCAAATGGATCAAAGACCTCAGAGTCAAAGCAGACACTCTGAAAACATTACAGAATGGAATAGGAGAAACCATAAGTTTTCTTGGCACAGGCCGAAATTTTCTTAATAGAGACCAGAAACACAACAAATCAAAGAAAGGTTGGACAAATTGGATTGCATGAAATTGCAGAGCTTCTGCATGGCAAAGAACATAGCTAGCAAGATCAATAGAAAGCCCACGGATTGGGAGAAGATCTTCACTAGCCATACAATGGACAAGGGTCTCATATCTAAAATATACCTGGAACTCAAAAAATTGAGTCCTCCAACAATAAATCCTCAAAGAAACAACTGCCCAATAAATAAGTGGGCTAAAGACTTAAAGAAGAGGAAAGAAGGATGGCCAATAAACACATGAAGAAATGCTCAACCTCTCCAGCCATAAAAGAAATACAAATCAAAACAAGATTGAGATACCACCTCACCCCAGTTAGAATAGCTATAATCAAGAACTCTAAAAACAACAGATGCTGGAGGGGATGGACAGAAGGGAACCTTACTGCATTGTTGGTGGGAGTGTAAACTTGTTCAACCACTTTGGAAAGCAGTATGGAGGTTCCTCAAAAGACTCCACATAGAGCTCCCATATGACCCAGCAATCCCACTTTTGGCCATTTACCCAAATGATCACAAACAAGACCACACTAAAGCTACCAGCACAACTATGTTTATTGCAGCATTATTTACCATAGCTAAGATATGGAACCAACCCAGATGCCCCTCAGTAGATGAATGGATCAAGAAAATGTGGAATATATACACTATGGAATTCAGAAACTTCTGACTCCACTGTTGGGTACGGGAGCTGGAGGTGGCTGCTACATCCCACTGCAGATGAAGGGAGGGGACGGTCCTCACCCCTCAGGAGTCATCCAGAACCTTGGAGCCAAGACAAAGAAGATCCTGGCAGAGGAGACATGTTTTCTTTATTAGCTTATTGTTAAAGATCGTACCAGAGCAGCTCACAAAAGAACTCAAGTAAAAAGAGAATGACACTCTGACATATTCTACCACATGAGAACACCTTGTGAATGCTGCACTGAGTGAAATAAGCCAGACACAGAAGGGCAGGTGCTGCGTAATGGCACCAGTATGAGACACCTGAGCAGGCTAGCTCACAGACACGGAACACAGAGTAGACATCACCAGGGGGTGCGCATGGACACAGAGTTTCAATTGGGAATCACGGGAAAGTTCCGAAACTAGATGGTGTGATGGTTGTAAAGTGTGAATGAATTTAATGCCACTGGATTGTGTACGTAATAATGGCTAAAACAGGAAATTTTGTGTTATTTTTATTTCATCACAATAAAATGTAAGCAGTTTTGTATGGACACAGATTGTGTGTGTGTGTGTGTGTGTGGTGTATGTGTGTGTGCTGGCACCAGTGCTTGAATTCAAGGTCTCACATTCTCACTTGCCTTTTTCTGCTCAAGGCTAGAACACTCACTTGATCCACACTTCTGACTTTTTGCTAGTTAATTAGAGATAAGAGTCTCATGGACTTTTCTGCTGACTTCAAATCTCCACTCTCAGATCTCAGCCTCTTGAGTGTCTAGGATTACAGGCATTGGGCCACTAATGCTAGGCTGACACAAAATATTTTTAAAATAATCATTTGAAAGAAATATAAATGAGCTACTAGGTAACATCTACATGTATGACTGAAGTAAAAATGACAGGTAATGACAGGTAAAATTAGAACTCAAATACTGCTGTTTTCAAAATGTTAAACACAGAATTATCAAATGAGCCTAAAATTTCACCCTAATACTGGAAAAACAACACCAAAATAAATTGCTTTGAAGCACATAAATAAATATTTATTTCCTATGGATTGAACAAAGAATATAGATGAACAGAGCTCCAAATTAAATTTTGGACTTTCTAAGAAATAAGAGGTCTCTGGGCATATTCTCAAAGCAAAAGCACCTTCAAAAAAATGTTGTGTTCAAGTCATTTAAAAGTTTGGTATGAAAGTGATGAAATAAAAGATATCAAATAATGAGTGCTTATTGTTCCTCTCCCCCAACCCTTCTTTCCTAAGAAGAAAGGACATTCATGGAGCTACTTTTTCTGTTTCCCCCAGGGCCCATTAAGGGGTTTTTCTTTGAATGTGAAATGTCTCCTGCAGACTCACATTGAATGCTTAGTCCCCAGCTAGTAGTACTATTTTGGGAGAGATTTCTGGGTACTTTATGAGGTGGGACCTCATTGAAGGAACTAGGTCAGTGGAATGCTCCTCTGAAGGTTACACCTGCTTTTCAGGTTCCTCTTCACTCCATTTCCTGTCAACCATGAGATACAAAATCTCCTCCCCCCTCCACCCCCATCCTTCACCTACAATCCTACAATGATGCTCTGCTCCAGCGTATTACACCCAAGCAACCATGGACTAAGCCCTCTGAACTCATGAACCATCAATCTTTCCTCCTTTTAAGCTGCGCATGTCAGGCACTCGGCATAGCAATGAGAAAACCCGCAGGGTAAAGAAGTTAGTATTGGCAAACTAAATTAATCTACAAAACAAAGAATTGACAGAAAGTGGGAAGAAAGGCATGTGTCCATGCCAACGAGGCTGCCGGAAACGCTGCTTGAAGAAAGTGGGCAGGGTGTGGGGGAGAGCTGGGGAGGCAGGGGGCTGCGAAGCAATAGCCTGAGAGGGAAAAGGAGATGGGAAAAGATACTTAAGTCACTGATGCTCCTGACAAATGAAAGCTCACCTTTTTAGGGAGGAGGAGCTTAGGGTCTGACGTTGTATTGTTTTCTTTCGTCTGAATAATGATAAAGCTAGCAATGACCCTTTAGTGGCGCTGGTCAGGAGGATCTGGGCTGATGTTGTGGATCATAGGCAGAGGCCACTGTCACACACTGACAATTTTCCCTTGTCTTGGACTTAGCGTGCATCTTTGTAGTGACTGAACATCCAACATAGGACATGAGAGAAGAGGGGTGGGCTGCCCCTTACCAATGAGGCCCCCAGGAGCTCCTCTGTCTCTTCCAACATGTGAAAGTGTTGTCTGTGAACTAGAAACCAAGACCTCCCCACCGACATCAAATCTGCCGGCGCTTTGACCATGGACATCCTGGCCTCCAGAACCATGAGAACTGAATTTCTAGTCTTTCTAAGACACACTGCGTGGTGTTTGTTTTATTAGGTAGAGCTAAGAAAGATGCTGGACAGAAAGAAGCCAACAGCAGACACACCTGAACCAGGCATAGCTACTGAACTTCATGGGGTGGGGGGCGGGGTAGGGGGGAGACAAAAATCCCTTTGGCAGCTGAGAGCAGCTTGGGACTTGCTAACAAGTGGACAAAGGAACAAATTCTGAAGCTCTGGAAATACAGAAAAAATAAAGTGCTTCCATCTGGAGGGAAGGGACCAGAGCCCATAAAATGGTGCCAAACAAGAAGGCACCTGAGGCATCGGAATGCTATCCACAAACTGTAAGTCTCCAGGGTCTGAGCTTGGAGACCATTCATAGATACTGAGTTATCAAAATCTGCATCTGGATATGGTTTGTGTATGAGCTACCATTGTATCAGAATATTTTCTCAGCGGATAGTCCCGACTGTGCCGATTGCATTGTGGTAAGGTACAGTATCATTGTTCTTAAGAGATACATGCTATCATTCCTTTGAACAACTAACATGCAGTCTGAGAAAGTGAATACCAGGAAGCTGGAACATAGACAAGAGGAAAGAGAGCAGAGGAAATGAGGGAGGTGGAGAGGCAAAGCACCCATCATATTCAATGGATACATGTGAACGTGGAACCAGGTAACTTGAGAGGCTGAGGGGGGTTGGGACAGATGGGGAAGAAGATGAGAGACATTGGTCAAGCTGTCTGTCATAACTCAGCATGTCATAAGCTAACACGCTGAATTGAACCTGCTTTGTGCAACTATGTAAAGACAATAGAGAGAGAAAGAAATACACACGGGAAGGTAATTAGGGGTAAATTGTCAAACTAATTTGCAACTTACTTTCAAATGCTTCAGCAAAAATTAAACCCATATACACATACATAT